ATTGAATAGTCGTGAACAGGTCTTATTAGTACATTATTTTTTTTTTGAAAACTTATTTCACTTTGTATTTGAAAACCATAAAAAATTGGCCAAAAAACCTCGCCCTTGGCGAATAAATCTCCTGTTAGACCTTGCACGAAGTGGGTGGGTCAAAATTAAAAAAAAAGTTATAGATAAATTTGGACGAACTTGTAAAAACATTGAATACCGAATGATAATTGACCTACTTGACAATCTAATCCCGGCAACACTTGATGTTTATACAATTCTATTCTGTTTAGGCTCGTTTGAAGAATATGTAGAGACAGTTTTTTGTATCTGGATATTTGCTTTATGCTAGAAATGAAAAAACTACAATAAAGCCCCTTTTATATTTTTATCTGACCTTTTTTATTAGAAAGATACAAATCATCCTTTTTATAACACATTTAAAATGTATTTACCAACTTTTAATAGCTATTATGTAGAAAACACACATAGTCAAATTCGAGCAAATACTTTCCCAAACGCAACTGCTGATAGCATTATAAAGCAGGCATATGTTACCAGTAATATGAATATTTAATATTTTAATAAAAAAATAAAATAAAATAACTTTAAAAATTTTAAAATATTTATTTTATTAAAAATTTGTAGTGAATCATGATCCCACATTCAAAAATGCTTATTGTAAAGCATAATGATATCCATATAATAATAGAATACTTGAATTTTTATCTAACAAAACTAGTTTTTTTTTAATACAATATTTTCAAACTATATTTCGTAATCGTGGACGAAGTGAACCAGTAGTTGATAATGAAACAGAAGATGGAGAGACTAATGAAAGAATCGATGAAAGAATTGACGAAAGAACAGATGAAAGAACCAAAGAAAAGACTAGTAAAAGAACCAGCAAAAAAACTAGCAAACAAACAAAAAAAAACTCCGCTCCAAAAGCCACCAAAAAGTCTACCAAAAAAAAGAAAAAACAACCAGAAATTTATCAGTTTGTAAGTTTAGGAAAACAAGTAGATATACGATGCTTACCAACCGCATATAGCACATCTCATCCGCCAGAACCTGGGTTATGTGATTCTTGTAAACTTTCATTCGTCAACGATAATGGTGTGGTATTTATTTGTGGCCATGCATACCATAAAGGAAAATGCATTTATTGTGAGGAATTTTACAAAAAAGGAATTTTTAATAATGTTGATTCATTTTTAAAGTGAATAGAAAAAGGAAATGATACATTTACCTTGGAGGACCTTGTTGATAGTGATGATGATGCTGCTGCTACTGATAATGATATAGAAGAGGAGGTGGATAATGGTTTTAAAGAAATAGATGAATCGTTAGAAGTTTTATCTAAGCTTACAACTGAAATTAATCAAATAGATTTGTGGTAAACATATCAATTAGTAAAAGCGAAATACTAGTTTGTTTGATCGAATAAAGCCTTCTTCTAGTTTCTGCAAGCCAATTTAAAGTTAGTTTTGTATAAATATTAAAACTTAAAGGTCATTTACTATAGAAAAGCTTAGTTTAAAAAAATCTACACGCATTACGGATTATTACAGATCTTAGAGATGGGTCGCTAAGGTTTCGTTCACAAAGCATCTAAGAAATAAGCCAATAAAATTTTAATTAAAAAACCGGTAAATTTTTGTATATTATCCCGTGAACAAAGTCCATATGTTTTTCATATATTCTCTATATATAAATTTTGTGTAATATTAGTGCATAAGTAGAACTTCAGTCATGCTTCTCCATGTAATATATATATTTATACATGTTGTGTAACTTATAATCACATATGGTATTATATAATTTAAAACTGAATTAGCGAAGAAAATAGAGAGTATCGTAAAGCATGTGATAGTATGATGAAATTGTACAAATAACATAATGATTAAAAAATATAAAAGAGGTAAATAATAAAAAGCAAACCTTTTGGACTAAGAGTAGTAAAGCTAAAAAAGTAAACTTACTAACACGATAATGAAAAACATATTTAAATGACTATAAGTGCGCAATATAATATACAGTACATATTATATATAATACACAGATCTAACAAATAATTGTAGTACGTATGTATATATAAAAACAGAGATCATCTAAAGTAGAAATAAATTATGTGACTATCAGCCAATCAAATTATAGAATTTTGATGATTGTTGGCGAAGCAATACAAGAAAGAAAAACAAAAAATTTAAAAAATACAAAAAATGGTAGTCAAAACCTGCCTTGGGTAAGTTAAGCAAAAATGTTAGAAAGGCAATTTTACATATATATATTTATCTAAAATTTAACCTAACCCCTAGTCTAAAATGACCCTAACCCTAAAGTGAATTCAAAAATATTAATTATATAATTTATCTCTGCTTTAGACGTCTTCCAAAAACAGTAATTTATTTGTTTTTGATCGATCGTGCATTAAAATAAACTGAGATCGATAATATTTTTTTTGCTCATATATAATATAATACAAAATTATAGACTTTCATTTTATGAAATATAAAATATAGTATCTGGCACAAAAAAAAGAAAAGGAGCAAAAAGGTTTGTAGTTAGTAGAGAAGTTAGAGAAACCAAGATAAAATAAAAATAATAGAAAGTTGCTCACTGCTTTATTAGTTATTTTCTAAGCCAGTTTTCTTTTTTTTTTAAGTCTTGGTTATATATTTTTTCAATTTTTACATGTTTAAAACCTGTATTTAATATTTTCTTTAAATTAAAATTTTTCTTAATAAAAGTCTGATTCTGTCATTGTCAATCATATCCGAGAAGTTATATTGTCATCATGTTTACCGCAATAAGTCTTATATTTGTTCAACTTCTACATGTCTTGAATATCCTTTTTTAAATTTTTTCTTTTAAAGAAGCCTGACTTCAATTATAATCATTTGTCAATTATATCCAAAAATTATACTGTTATCTTATTGACCACTGTTGTTATTTATTAACTATATTTGAGAGAGTTATATTGCCATCTTGTTCATCACAGTAAGCTCTATGTTTTTTAAACTCTCGGATCTTAAATCAGTGTCAACATTTCTTGAAAAATTATTTTTTTAGAAAAGCCTAATTTTGTCATCATTCTAAGTTACATCCTGGAAGTTGTACATACTTTTGTGCATAAAAAATTTTATCTTATTTGTTATAATATACTGGAGTTATTGTATAATTTTCTTTTATTCAAATTATAAATACTTTTAAAATTGATATTTAGAAAGTAAACTCAAATTTTCTGTTTAACTTATATTTAGGATTTTTATGATCATATTTTCTGAAGCTGTGCCTAAAAACAATAGCCCTTTTGAGTCGCCAGCTGATGATATTCTTGTAGATGCAAGTAAAAATAATGAAGTTAGCATTGACAGTATACATTTTGTTAGAAATATATTAGATTCTGATTTTGAAAACTATACTGGTGATTTGCCTTTAATTATAACCCCTATTAAGATTAAGGTAAGTACCCAATTTATTTCTATACCAGTTGCAGTTCTATAGAGCAATATGCTTTTCAAAACCATTTCTCTGTTTATAAACACAAATGTAAGATGTTTGCAGATAGCATCTGCGAAAAAAGTGTTCTTAAATGCGATATGGGAGAAAGATATAATGAGCAGCTTTGAGACCAACATTGGGCAAACAAAAAATAAAGAAAGCAAAAAACAAGGATGCAAATGGCAAATAAATATAACAAGACCATCAAATTCTCTAATAGTATCAGTAACTTTGTTTAAAAATGAACACAACCATCCGATCTATATTGAGACTACAAAATTTGTCACTACATATAAAGGCTTTCTCCCTAAAATTATAGAACAAATTGAGTATTATATTTGGTTGATGCGATGCAACAGGATTAGAAATATTCTTCAGCCTAAATATCTGGAATGTGTTTTTCTTACTCAAGATCTTGGAAATGCTATTCAGAAAATAAAACAGAAAAACAGAATATACATAAGTGATGCTGCCTCTTTATTGACAAAACTTTTAAAGTTTCAATCTAATGATCATGCATGGTTTGTAAAACTATTGATTGATGATATGAGTAATCAGTTAGTTGGCATTTTTTGGATGTCACCAAAGCAATGTAAAAGATAGGCCAAGTTTTATATAATTATTCATGATAACATTGCACGAACTAATAAATATAATTTTCTATTAAGCCTTTTTATTTTAATTAATAATTACAACTGCAGCAGATTGGTAATACAAGCATTTATACAAGATAAAAGGCAGACATTTTTTTAAAATTTTTACAGAATCTCCAAAAGCATATTTTCATCTAATGTTAATTTCTAATCAATGGTATAAAGACAAATATATAAATTCGAATGAAAACTATCCTAACAAAATAGTTGCAAGCAATTTTAGTCATGATAATACCCTGATTATTCAAGAATTTACCTGAAAATATACTATAACTGATCTCTCTGAAAAATGTTATCAACAAATATCAAAAAAAGATTGAAATATAGTACTTTGATAGGTGAAGCTAAAGAACAGTTCAATATGCAATAGAGGATAATGACAATAAGTTAATACAATTTATTAAGGAATTTAATAAATGAAACAATATCAACAGATCCAAGCAGAATTAGATAGACAACAAAATAGTTAAATAATTTGCAATGAGGTTTTATTTAATTCTACACAGGTTTTAGATCCAGTAAAACATCAATCGAAAGAAAGACCACTATTAAAATAATTAAAATCATCAACTGAAAATTTTAAAAACAAATCAAAAGTATCAGATGTATCCAATAGTGATAGGGGTCACAAATGTGGATTATATAGAGAAAATAGATACTATTGTAATACTTGTTCTGTAACAATTTAATATACTAGATAGACATATATGTAGGCCATAAAGGCAAGGATAAATATATATTATTAATGATAATATATTAGAATATGTGAATTTGTTTTAACAATTGTTATTCTATTTGTATTTTGTATATCTCACACATTACAAATTATTGTTTATAAGTATTTGTTGATATGTATGCTTGGTGCATTAATCCTTTCAATGCAATTTTTGATTAATCAAATATTGTAGTATATACTAATGTTCCTATAAACTGAACTGAACTGAACTTTTGGTCAAATTCAAATTCAGTTCAAAATTGAACTGAACTTGAACTTGAACTTTTTTTAAAAAAAGTTCAGTTCAGGTTCAATATTAAACTTTTAAGTCAAGTTCAGG